CTGTTTAAAAACCTCGCGATTGCTGAACAAGAAAACGACACATTCATATGTAATTATAATATAAATTATACTAATGAAGTAAAAATGAATGAATAAAATTACAAGTATACTAAATTAATACTAGAAAGCGGTGAGTGTGCAGAGAAGTAGCTCTGTGCTCAATGTGATTGAAATTTTGGTTTATCATCTACTCTGTTTGGTTACGGAGGTGTTTGGCTGAGTAGATTGCTGTCAACTTGACCTTTCCAGGCTCTGTGGGAGGCGAAATCCGTCGCAACGTTAACTTGTACGTAAATAAAGGAATAGAATAATACTTCTTGTTTACTAAACGAGAATATAAAGAATTGTCCGATCAATGCCGAGGTTAATAGAAAGTCGGTCGTAGGAGTCAATACACTATTTCGCGTGCTAGAGTAGCCCAGTAGGTCCTGCTCACGGGACCCGATGTGCATTATATCTTTCTTTTAGGCTTTTCGTGAACAACTCTGACCATCCAGTCGGTGGTCTTCCTGCAGTACGTTTGACGTCCCGAGGAATCCAGTCACTAACGGCTCTTCTCCATCGGTTGTCATTCATACGCATTACGTGTACGGCCCACCTTATCTTCGACTGTTTGGCGTACAGAACAACATCTTCGATTTTTGATCGTTGACGCAGGTCAGAGCTTCGGATCCCACCCCTTACTTGTGTGGAACGCGATGCTCCTAGCATCGTCCTTTCGACTGTGGGTTCAAGAACGCTGAGTAGTTTTAAGTCCTGCTTACGCAGCGTCCAGGTCGACCAGCGACCCGACCAACGACGGATACGTTAAGCTAGGAAGTGTCGTGGAGTCGAAGAGTTGCGGACAAAATGGGTGTTCCTTGTTCATTTCACTACATTCTCGATGCCCTTGAATGCTCCACAAGTCGCTCGTTTCTTTCTGCTTAACTGTGGAGCTAAGTCCTTGAACATGTTGATTTCCCGACCTAGATAGATGTATCTGGAGCATTCAGAGATATTTGTTCCTGTAAGCGTGAATGGGGCATACGAAACCAATCCGTTCCTCATGAACATCGTTTTTGTGAGATTTAGTCGAAGACCAATGTTTCCACAGGCCTTATCAAAATAGTAAAGTATTCGTTCCGCTTGGCTAAGGATGGGTGTTATAAGAACAATGTCATCAGCAAAGCGAAGATTGTGTAATTGCCAACCATTTCTGCCCACTTACAGTTTTGATAATCAAGAATATATGTTCCAGAAACATTCATGTAGTTTTCTTGAGAGCCGTGTCAAATCAAAAGATAGGTGCGCTGTTTGTGAAGTCGCAGGTTGACTTGTATCTCCCTGACGTATGTAAATACATCTGTACATAATATGTAAGTGTGCTTATGAGTACGAACATTGTAATCTATCACGTTAGATCGGCCAAAATCCTATGACCTAGCGCCTGTCTATATAGCTCCCACAACAGGATCTGATAAGCAACCTGAGCGTAACTTCTGGCCAAAAGCATAGCAATCTAAGAAGAAAGTGCGATCGGTTTTGGAGAAGTGACAGAAGCAAGTGGGGATTCTAGTGCAGTAAATTGGGTTGTTGTATGCTTAACAGCACTAAATGTGATAGAGATGATAATGAAGGAGCTTGTAGTTTCTCAGTGGCATGCCAATGATCACACACTGTCTGAGCTTGTATTACTTTATCACTCAGAATGCTAGGTTCCCTATTCATGAAAAACTAGCACGAACACCTTATTATAAAAAAAGGAATAATCAACTGACGTCGGCTACCACCACAGACTCTATTTAAAGTATTTCGCTACTCTTCAGCATTTCACCCGAGTTATGCACAACAGAAGACATCACACCACTAATTGGAGTTTCAATATTCTTGACGATAAGTATACTTATGAAGAGGGATTAGCGTTATCCGACGAGGAGAGGCAGCTGTCATGCGAAATCTCTTAAGGATAGGTATTGTCCTACAAAATTCACAAATGAAGGGTTTCTAATTACTTGAATACAAGAGTTCCAGTAATAGAATTTGTGTAACCAGAAAAATGGTATGGGAAAAAGTTAAAATGGTAAAAATAAAAGTATAACATTTTATGCAATTAGGAGAAAGAAGCAGAGGTAAGAAGTGCTCTGTAACATAGGTAGGTTGGATCCCGCACCCTAGGCTCAACAAACCTTCCATTCCTACAGAGAGCATTCTTCACGAACATTGGAATGTTCTCTATGTAAAACATTTCGAATACTGTTTCCGGTGACCTTATTCCTATAACAATCTGATAACCTTATGTCAAACATTTTGAATACTGTTTCCGATGACGATCCGATAACCTTATCTTTAACATTTCGTTGGCGGCTATCTCACGAAAATATCTGAAGTTACGGTCCTATGCTTTGTCTATCGCCTTATCAGACTGCATCCAATCCTTGAGAAATTTTTCCAGCACCCTTTAGTGGCAAACCATCTTTCCACTTACTGTAGCTTGACTCCACCCAGCACAAAAGGTATTTAAAGGTTCCACGGTTAGCTCGCTCAATTCACAACAATGCTGCCCAAGTCAGCATGTCCCTTCCTCACATCCATCCTATGTATTAGAAGCCATATGACAACCTCTTCACTCATAAGCAACCTGAACACCAGTGATCAGGCTGCGCCTATTCATTACTTGTGTCATTGTTGTATTAATTGTACAGTTGTATTGTTATACCATAATTGTTGTATAATTATGATAAACGATTTGATTACCCGAGTCTGAGGTGTCCGGCATTGTGAGTGCTAATCACAAGAAGCCCCGCGTGGCACAGACAAAGGCGAGCAGCTATTTCCAAGCGAATCTTCTTAACTACTCGGTATTCCTATATCAACTAGCCGTCCCAACAATCCCTCCGGGATTGCCAAATTAGTACCATACCTGCCTGGGAGGATAGAATTAGTAACTCGATACATCGATAGGCTACTGCAAGTTGTAAAGGCCAGATATGCACTAAGTCACCTCCAAACGATACTTAATGAAGGCGAATGCATGACGCATCCTTTAGGATTGATCAACGAAAGAGTTTTATCCTGCATCCTTTTTAAGAGGAATAGTCTGGATTTCTCACGTCACCGATCAAAGAACAAAGATGTTAACACATATACGGATGTGCAAATAGATGGGCCGGACTTGCGGAAAGTTCACCACTAACAGTTTCTCCTTACTGGATGTGAGGCGAGTATGATGTTATCCACAACGGTCAGGTGTTTTACCAGTAACTGCGGACAGAGATTTCAGTGTTCTTCCTGTAACCAGTGAACCAACAGGCCCCTAATGTAACCTGGGATGCATAGAATGCAGGTCCTACAGATGTGCGTTAGAATCCGTCGGTGATCCTTATGAGAAATGATCACAGATGACACCATTGTTTATGAAGAGTGACGGACCTGAATATTTTTATGTAACTTTGGTTGCAAGCAATCTTACTACGTTGTTGTACTGCGTTGTTAACACAAATACGTACCGTTGCATTAATATCAGAAAGGTGATTAGTATTTTCTCTAAAACAATGAGATCCCTTCACCCTCGTTCAGATAAGAAGTATCCCAAGACAACAATCACTTTGATGCTGAGGTAGGTGATATAGGTAGACCAAACTAGCTGAAAGAAAGGAAAAGCAAGGAACTCAGTGGTGCAGTGAGTAATAAGTGAACCCCGGAAAGGGTAGGAAAGGGTACCCCCGGTCCAATCTGAATTAAGGTGCAAGTGCCACAAATATCTCAGCATTATAGTCGCTGCATTTCACAGCATACTCGTCCTTGAAAAACAATAATAGGCAGTAAATAAAAAGTTAACATTGTGATATTCCAAGACACTTATTCATTATAATACACGAATCTCCTCCCAACGGTTTACTGCCTCATCGTGGCTGCAAGGTGTTCCTAGATGTAGAGCTACGATGTACAACGGGGGATCCATCCCCCAAGCAGGGCCTTCCATTCCGAGAAAGGGTCCGCTGTTTCCAACAGGAAGCCCAGCTAAGAGTAGACTAATACCAGGATCCATCACCGTCCTTGCATCAAACTAGTCGTATGGTGGCAAATCTCCCTCTCATACAAAGAGGCGGCGGCGATTGCCTGTGGTGGTGACGACCTGGGGCAGACTTTGGTCTGGCTGACCTTCCAGGGAGACACAATGGCTGAACCAGCAAAACTCCGAAAAATGGAATTCATGTTGGTGTTCGCACAACCAGTGAACATGTGCTATGCGCACATGCGAACCTAGCTCGTCACGCTCCATTGAGAAAACGCGCACCTATATTTCTGTTCTGAAACATTTTCCATACAAAATATTTCCTTACGAGACTTTCCGGATCATCCTGCCGGTAGTCGCAGCTTTACTTACTATGTGGGATTCACTGTCGATATAATACATGGTTCTACGTATACAAACAGTGTCGTAGTGGATGTTCTGATTGTTATAACCCTCTTTTTGATACGGCGAAGCTTGCAAAAGGTCCGTTTCCACTCTTATCATCATAGGCCATCTTCCAGAAAGCCATGACATGACAGGAAATCCGTGGTGATAACGAAGGGATGATAATGATAAAGATACCTAGGTTCAGTTATGCTTTCCTTAGAGTAAAGCTCAGCGTAGCGTAGTGTTAACTTAGCTATTGCAGAAAGGAAGATTTTCTGCCTTAAGACTGCGAAAGAATTATTAAGGACGAAGTTAGAATGCGATTAATATCTGTGTGTTATTGTCTTAGGATAAAAGTCCTTGGTTTTGTTTCTGTGTTCGTAATATTTTGACGGTTATTTACGTTTATTGCGTTTATACGCATGTATATACGTGCGTATGTGTGCCTGTGTCCGTGTGTGTCATATCGTCTGTGTCTATGTATACATACATATATATATACATGTATACGTATATGCATATATACACATAGTTTTGATCTTAGCCATGACGCGAGATCGTGGTAGTGTATTTGAGGGTTTTGTTTGGCAAATGGTGGTACTGGTTTGCAGGCCCATCGATGGAATCGACGTCTCATAAACCACAGAATACAAATGCCGATGGTGAAGAGGATATTGTCGACCTTTGTCGAAGACTGGACACAAAGCTCGAAGAGAAAGCAAGGATGCATAACCTGAACGCACTAAATGTAAAGTCGATTCTCAACGTGAGTTTAACCTTATGGCTTAGAACCAACCTATGTACTTTATTGGTATCCTTTCAATTTCTGCATTGTTTACGTCACTTAATCCATGGTGCCAGACTTAGTGATACTTCCTATCCATCGTTTCTAGCGTCTCATAAAGAATCCGAATGTACTAACAACTCTAATGGGCATCGAAGGTGACACGGACGATATTCCTAGCATTAAAGTTACTCGATCGAAGGTGAAGCATTCTGCAGCTGAAGCGGCTAAGGTTAATCTCCGCAACTTTACTGATATCCTAAGTTAATTTAATCTTTACCATCTGGAAAGGATGAAGTTTTTTGTATTCAATGTAGATAGACGGCAAATTTAAAGAAGAAATTCAGTTAAAAATTGTTAAACAACTTTTGAGGTCGAGTTGAAGCCCATCCGTCCCCCAAGGACATTTCTCGATGTGCAGTTTGACGACGAGGATGATAATGATGAGGATTATAGGCCAGAGGAAGTTCATGTATGAGTTTTACATGCTTCATCCATTATTGTATTGTTTTTTTCTTCCTTGAAAACTTTACTACTAGCCATGTTTTTGATCGTTTGTCGCAATTCAAATAAAGAAGGGTTCTTTAGAATGGAGGTGGCGATGAAGAGGAAGAAAATGAAACGTCAACGGCTGCTGATCCCAATCAAATTCGAAGGCTTAGGGCGATGAGTGTTTCTAGTGCCGACCATCCAAGTGATGCCTTAGGTGACCATGTATGTGATAGCATTTTTTGTTTTCCCTCATTTTAAACCTTTAGGACTGATGCGGTTTTATTAGCAACCTCTGTCGAATTTGCTTCATTTAGGAAACGTCGTCCGTTTGCATTCTTTTGAACTTTTCACTTTTCTTTTGAACATTTCTTTTGTTTTCACTTTTCGACTACAATATTTCTACTTCGTTTCATTTAGTAATATCAACTCATTAGTTGTAGAATTTTCTCTCATGGCCTTTACAGTTATCGATTTTAGCTACTCGCTTGTTTTGTTTTTGATGAGAAAATGGAAACGGTGCACTCTCATTCTTTTCCCCATTTCCATATATTACGTGTAACAGTACCATCGCAGGAAACGGAACATTGTGGCACGGAAGTATCAGCGTATCAACTACGATCACGTGTTCCTCATATTGATGATAATTGTCCATTGGAGTCGTTAAATACATCGTTTACAGAAGAGAGCTTTGAAACTTTTGCAGGCTACCGTGGACAAGAGGTACGCATAAATCACTGTACCATTTTACCCCTCTCGTTATGATTTTTCGTTACGTTTTTGTAAAGTAGTTGTAGAGTTTTTCCTTTTCAGATGCTCACTTTTGTGGAAAATCCGGATTATTTGGACTTTCTTCAAGGTATACATGCTTCAACACCTGTGAACGGTTGGTGATCTGCTCTAGGAATTGCACAGAAATGTTTATTGTTTCCTCTTAGTTTTCAAATTTGTGCAGTTTTCTTTACTAAGTCTAAGGAATTTTAAACTCAACGAACTTGACTAGAAGCCAATACTGAGGGATCGACGATTTCTGTCTAGAGAACGGGAACACGGCAGTCGACGATGATGACCCCGACGATGAAGAATACAATGTGTTGACTGAGTTAGAAGGTCTGAAGAGCATTGAAAAGGACGCGGATGAATTGCGAATGGATAGATTCACGGAAATTCCGAGTGCGATTGTATTGAACTTTTCACAAGTTTTCATGCAAGTTATTTCAACATTGTTTTGAAATACCGTTGTATCAAAATTTTTTCATCCTTTTTTTCTGCCATAGATGTTGCCTGTATTCCTAGAGCGCGAAGTTGAAGGACTTTTTCTCGACTTGATCGGTAGTGATATGGAGACCATTGGCCCAGAACTCATGCTTCAAAAGATTCCTAGCCCAAAGAAAAAACGCTCTAAACGTCGATCGGGAGAGAAAGGACGAAACAAACAGTCGAATAGTGATCGCAAGGTAGGTGCTTCATGCCTCTGACTTTATTCGACAACTAACTAAGAAATACATCTTAAACAGTCTCTCCGTTGTGCGTTTTGAATGAGGGTGTTTTTTTCTCTGGAATGGTGAATCTGCAATAAAATGACTAATGTTCAAGCTCGTGAGCATGCACGTTCTTGACAAATGCTTCTTGTGGATCATAGTCGAACCGTAGTTGAAATAATAAAAGTCTGTTGACTTTACACTTGTCTCTTCTTTGCATCACCGTCGTACACCAGGTTCGTCGCTGGATTAGCAGGATTGAAGCGTGCTCTTACGTTTAAAAGCTCCACTTTCCAAATCTTAATCGTTCTCACTCTTCAAAAAGTATAGACCTTTAATGTGTTTGAAAAGCACTATTGAAAGGGGATAATATTCAGAAACTCCCAAGTCTGACTTTCTATTAACCTCGGCATTGATTGAATATATCTTTCTACTTCTGTTCAGCAAACACGAGGTGCTATTTTATTTCTTTATTTACGCATAAGCTGACGTTTCGGCGGATTTCGCTTTCCTCAGAGCCGCTTTCTATGAGTCTTCCACTGAGTATGTCGCGTGAAGACCGATCGCACAGAATTTACATGGAAGCGTAATGTGTTAAGTTATAAAATAAAATAGCACCTCGTGTTTGCTGAACAAAAGTGGAAAGAAATATTCAGAAAGTTTAATGAGAAATATTCAGAAAGTTTAATGAAGTACGAGAAAGCACAGTAGGATGTATAAACCGGAAGAGAAACTGTACAAAAAGTGTAAAGGTCTGTCGAAAGCCTATGGTACGATAGAACAAAGTCGGGGTGCTTAGTACTTTGATTATGGGAACCACATGTTTTGTATCTAAATCGTACATGAAGAGAGAAACAGCGTGGAATTGTTTCGAAAAAGAAGAGCAGCGTGGTGGCATGGTGCGTGTCCTGGCATCCCAGTGGGATTACCTATCACATAGGTGTTTGAAAACCGTCGCTTATCGTTTTGGTTTAGGAGTACTGTCAGATATGGCTCTTTCGCATGAGTTGAAATCGACCTACATCGAGAATCTTACACATCACCCACAAAGAACGTGAGCGATGTCAACTGGAATATAACCTGTGCATGCCAAATCAAGTTGAATTATGAAATTTAGAGCTCCAGTGAATATTTTCGAGAACCAAAGAATTTGCGTAGAAAATTAAGGTCAATGGGCTGGTCACGTAATGAAAAGTGAAAACACTTGAACAGAAAGAAAAACAGATTAGATCGGACGTCATCTTCGCTCATGTGAACTAAACGGGTTTACAACTTGGTACAGTATCGGACCATGCAATGATAGTTGAAGTCGTTCTTATGATCTAATCTTTACTGCCTTTGTGATCGGGAGTTGAGAGGGAACGAATGGAAGATATCGGCCATTCATGAATATGGATTCTTTTATGGTTCCTACTCTTACGTTTGTGCGAAACCAAGTTTCTCTGTTTGGCTGGTGCGTTGCTGTATGAGGGGTCTCTTTCCGTCCTTTTTTTTAAATTTTTTTTCATAGTATCCTAAAATGATTTCGGCCTATATATTTCCGAATTGTCGTCTTCGCGATTCTAGTAATTCGATGCTTGGTAACAGTGACACGTTGATAAATTGTCTAGTAGTACAGTTATTCTTTCAAAATAGAACGTTTACGTGTTTTCTAAGTATCGCGAACTTCAAAACTGATTCACAATGCGTACAATGCTTGATACTTGATACTTGAACTACCCGTCATCACTAGTTGTGACTTGTGCGGCCTCCAAGATAATCGCCATTTTTCGGAGGTTTGCTGGGCAAGCCATTGTGGTTCCGTGCAATCCCGAGGACAGCCTGGCCAAAGTCTGCCCCAGGTCTTCACCACGACGGACAGTCGCAGTTCTTGTGGATCAGAGAGAGATTTGCCACCATGCAACTTTGATACCAGGACGATAGTGGATCCTGGAATTGGTTTACTCTTAGCTAGGATTCCTGATAGAAACGCTGGACTCCTTCTCAGCTTGGGAACCCTGCCGGGGGACGAATCCTCCCACTGTACATCGCAGTCCTACACCCAGGAACACCTCACAGCCACGGTGAGGCGGTAAACCTTTGGGGCGAATGCATACACTACCGTTCAAAAATTGATTTTCCTACCTTTTAGATGTCACTTCCTGTGGACGAACCCCCACCTGACGGTTCGTATTCTTCCAGTTTAATTAGTGGTAAGCTTATTGTATGTTTAATAGTTCATTGCCTTCGCATATTTATGGACAATTACGTTTATCTTGCTTGCAATTCAGGAAACTCGATCAAGTTTAAAGTTGAAGAGTTAGAGCAGTTATGCATTCAATTAGAGCAGGTATGAATTAATGATGGTCACTTGACAGAAGTACTCTTTATCAAGTTAACCGTCCTTATCCTTATTCTTGACCGCTCTTAGATATAAGTAAATACATTTGCAGCACGTTCAATTGCTAACTCAATCTGTGGTAATGTGCTACCATGACGAGCGACTTACCCACGTAAAAAATCAATATCAGTTAATGATCGTAAGTTTGCTCTTTATCAACTCCCTTGTCATCCGCGTTTTGTTCCTGAAATCATCCATTTTTCTGCGAGGATATTATACTGAACACAGAGTGATAAATCAAGCGTTGTTTCTTTCAGCAAAAAGTGGTGTTATCTTGAATGAATCGCCAATGTGGTTATGGTCGTGCTATTCAAACCCTCATTCGTCATCGTTACAAAATCGTTCAGAGAGGAGCTTCCCCCTATTCTCAAAGACAGTAGATGATGCGCGATAGAGACCTGAGATCGCTCTATTAGAGCAATCCCATGATAACAGAGAATTAACTCGACAACTGTTCAACGATATTCACGAAAGTTTGCGTGGCAGCAGGGCCCATACGCATATTTGAACATCTTCGTAAATAATATATGTTCGAATATATGCTCAGAACTTGTGAAGATGGGCCACATTTATAGATATGTATTTGTGTATGCACATATATCCGTATATATATATATATATATATATTCATATACACATGTATATGACATGTACATATATGCGTATATACAGATATACGTACACATATACATGGCGATGAAACACCTTTGTAAACATGTCTTTAAGGTGTTGCGCTTGCACGAGGTTGTTATACAACTTTTGTTTGGCTAACGTTTCGGCGTCTTCTTAATCAGAGTTGATGATACCCGAGTCAATGGTCCACAGTTGCTCGTCTTCCCGATGTGGCGTCTTCGTCTTGGTATCGAGTACGATCGTCTTTATTGGAGCATCTCTCGAGTGAGACATACTCTCTGACGCTCTTTTATACAGGCTGGCGGTTGTTGATAATAGTGATTTTTTGATGATAATGAGTTGTTTTTCCGGACAATCCATCCTGCAGGAGTCGGTTTCATTATCAGCTAGCACAGAGCATAATGATATTTCAAAGACCTACTTTCTTTTAACCTCGATGTGACGAATCAACGTGTGTTTAAATTGTTGAGCTTACACGGGGTCGTTATACAATTTTTATACCTGTTTGATTTGTTATACCGAAGTTTTTTTTTAAAGAGAATTCGGTTTTTGAAATGCTTTCCTGTAACTTTATCAACTCCTCCAGTTGTTAGTTACTCTGATCGCAAAAAATTGTGTGCAGTGGAAAAACCGGCAATGTCGGGATTGTTTCGAATCAATTTTTGTCATGGTGTGATGTCTACTTTTCTCTCGAAGTATATTTGCAATTACAGCACTGCATTTGTGATTCCAAACCTTGCGTTAATTATTAAAATACTTATCATATCGTTAAAGGTTTTTTTTCCTACCATTAGTTTTAGTTTTTCTACAGAATAGTTTTGTAAAACCCATGTTTTTGTCTATATATTAGATCGTCAAGGTAGGTCACTGAAAGTGGCGAAAAATTCGTTTTGGGTTTTACCAGCAGTGGTTTTCGTATTAAAAAGATCTTGGATAATTGGATAACTGGATGGCGTCTCCATTGGGCCAGAGCACAATATCCATTCGTTTTCCTATCGCATAATCGTAGTCCTTGGTGATGGTCTGTTGACGTCCGCGAAGCCCATTCCGTATCCATGAAATCGTTTCCTTCAGCGAGTTAAAATGATTAGCATTAACCCCGAACATGACCGCCCACCGTATCTGTAGTCATCCAAGAGTATGTTTGCATTCTCTTGGAGTCCACGCCGTATGTAACTGGCCGGCCTATGTTTCGCTATTGATGTATATCTTTCTAGATCCCGAAGATTGGGTAGGTTCCGAATATCTGAGCTGCGCAATCGGCTAGACATGAGTGGCGGTTAAATTTCAGGAAACCTCGTTCAAGTGCACAATGTGTGGTGCGCAAATTTCATGACATGGTTGAGGTATCAGTCCACGTTTCTGCTGTGTAAGTAACAGAGTGCAGAGGGGATAGTTGAATCGAAAAGATGAGGCGGAATCTTGGATACGTTATTTGGTTGGTGGCTTCTCTGAAGGACCCGAATGCTGCCCATGCTGCTCTTCTTCTGTCTTATTCCTCCTTCATGTTCTTCTCCATGTTCGCTGAATGAACATCAAAGGCACACGTACGAGGTGGCTTCTTTAATCAGAGAATAATCAAGTTGTATTTGTTCGCCTTTGCACCATGGGTTCTGCATGAATCCAATTTTTTCGGCTTCATTGAGTTCACTGAACATCGTCACTATTTCATTGTTTATCTTCAGAACGATGGCGATGTCATTCGCGGAACGAAAATGTGATAGAAATTTTAAGGAATTTTCAATTAATACGTGTGGCGTTCCTCGTCCCATTTGTGTGACTTTATTATCCACTGCAGTGCTGCAGTAAGCAGCTTCGGCGATATTAGTTCGGTTTGTCGAACTCTTTTTCCATGCTTACGCTAAAGGGTCGATGGAGGAGGCCTTTTTTCTGCAGTTTCTGCGATAACAATCAGCTAGTGTTCGTGTATGGGACGGGTCCAATACTTGCTCGATGAGCGCTGATAAGATTGCATTCGTTTTGACGCTGTCAAACGCTTTTTTTCTGTATTCGATAAAGGCTATGACAAAGGCCACATGGTATTCCCGACACACTTCAATTACCCGTGAGTCTACAGTTTGCAAAAAGTAAGTGTAAATTGTGGCTTCCACTTCTAAGGAAGTCTGTGGTGATATTATCGGGTCCTCGAGCTGTTCCTCCCTTCATGGTTTATATCACAACTCGCATTTCAGCGGGTAGATTTCCGATTAGTTTTTCACCAGAGGAGATTTTAGTGTCCGAGATGAGGGTTATAAAAGAGAAAATGTATAAAACTTTTCCGTTGTCAATTTCATATCATGGCAGGATTTAGTGATACTCCTGTCCTCGTTCAACAGGGCAGATAGCGGAGGATTGTAGTCGCAAAAATTCCGACGACACTTCTTCAGATTTAAATCGTTTTCGAGTTGCTTTCAATAACTTTTTTGCCTGTATCGATGTAAATCATCCTGCAGTGATCTTTTACAGCTGTCGTTTATTGTCCGCCGTGGTAGGTGTTTTGCTAACTTTCCTTCTGTTTTCGAACAACTCCTTAATGGTGATAGAGGTGCAGTTTTAACTTTTTATTTGAGGAACTGAGGCGAGTTAGGCACAAATTTTAAGTCCTTCGACAAGTAGTTTGTAGCCTTTTGTCAGATCTCCCTTATCTGCCTGTCGTATGAGGAAAGAATTTTATTGAGAATATCCTCATGATACACAACTTCTTTCAGTAACTGCCACGACCGACTTTCTATTAACCTCGGCATTGATCAAGTAATTTTCTTCGTATTTTTGTTGAGCAAACGCGAGATGTTATTATTCTCTGTTCACGATTAAGCTGACGTTTCGGTGGATTTCGCCTTCCTCAGAGCCTGGAAAGGTCAAGTTGATAGCAATCTACTCGGCCAGATGCCTCCATAACCAAACAAAGAAACTCTAAACCAAGATTTCAATCACTTTGAACACAGCTTTGCACACTTACCGCTTCCTATGAGGTTTCCACTAAGTATGTCACGTAGAGACCAACCGCACAGAAATCACATGGAAGTATAATGTGCACCTCATATCAGAAAAGCAGTTTTATATACTGCCCTATATCACGCGTGACAATGAGGCACTCTTCTCTGCGGTTCATTTTCGGATTTCTGGAATTAATTGGTTTAGAGTTTCTTTGTTTGGTTATGGAGGCATCTGGCCGAGTAGATTGCTGTCAACTTGACCTTTCCAGGCTCTGAGGAAGGCGAAATCCGCCAAAACGTCAGCTTAATCGTGAACAAAGAATAATAACACCTCGCATTTGTTCATCAAAAATACGAAGAAAACAACTTCTTTCGTTCTTCCTGGACGATGATTCGTTTGCAGCTTATGGCTAAATCAAATGTTCGCACGGAGAACGTGGCAATTCGATTCAGCACAGAATCCAGGTATCATTGAGGTGTCAAGGGCGCAACACTTTCTGTTCGTGGGAATATGATCGATTTCCGCATGAGTCGTGCCGTCGGCAAAATCCCATGTCCATTGGTAATCGTCTCTCTTCTCGAAAAATGAATTTCCATGGAAAAGACATGCTGCGGACAGGAGCCGTACAAGACCGTTTCAATTGCCATTTTGTTATCCTATTCCAAATTCCCATATCCCGTGTTTATTTTCGTTGGTCATTCCTAATCTGCAGTTGAAGTTCCCAACAACGAATTTATCGAACTTCTTGTTGTGGATTGCTTTTTCAAACTGGCTGTTGAACGCTTCCAGTTCCCTTTCATCATCTATAAAAGTTGGTGAATAACAGTTGAGTATACCGAATTTCTTCTGACGCGCAAGCTTGAGAAGAGGAATGGTCAAGCGTGATGGTAGGATTTCGTATAACATGACTAGATGGGAAATAGTTTAGTGTGCGACAAAACCAACGCCTCCGATATTTCGTAACGGAAAATTCCCACCATGATTGAGAAGGGTTCTGTTATCTAACTGGCGTATTTCCATTTTCTTACTTTTCATCTGTTGTAGTGCGATTATGTGGAATATGAATGTGTCGCTTTCTTATTCAGCAATCGCGAGGTTTTTAAACAGCATACATTTACTTCCATAGAAAAACAATACAATACAACAGTAGCTGACGTTTCGGCAGTATCGCCTTCTTCAGAGACTGGAAGGGTATACTGATATACAATCTACTAGGCCAAACGCTTCAATAACACGTACAAAAAGACGAAAAACTCTTTGGTAATTACATGAACAACAACTTCTCGAAAAAACCCACCGCTTTTTTCGTGACTTCCAATGAGGAAGTTTAGAACAGCTGATTATAGTCGCATGTGGTTGACGACTGCACCATCCCACATCAAAAATCGATGCGAACGTACGGGATCAGGTAGCGTATGACCTCCGGGCATTCATCCCTGCTACTCATTATAGGGTTTTTGGCATTGATCCAAAAAGCCTCAAGGAGTTTTCGCGCTGGTGTTTTGGACTCCTGTGCAAGGATATTGACTTTTACTTCAAAATCGTCTCCGCTATGCTTTTGTATATATATATATTGTATTGTATTGTGTTTTTTATGGAAGTAAATGTATGCTGTTTAAAAACCTCGCGATTGCTGAACAAGAAAACGACACATTCATATTCCAATGCCGAGGTTAAGAGAAAGTCGATCCTGGGAACGATTATGTGGAGTTTGATGCAATCGGCTGCTTCAAGAAAAGCGTAAAGGTCGGCGTCCAATGAGACTGTTCTGGCGTTATAGATGCACCGCAAGAAGCAATCTACATAGCATGTGGTCAGCGTGATCGTTTTCTTCGTCTCCAATGATGTTCTCTGCAGCCCGAGATTTGATCGCCTCTCACCGCCCGACGTCGTAAACAGGAGCCTCTATTGTGTGGGGTGCTGAGGCAGGAATGATGCTGGTTTAGCCATTATAGTACCCTGGTGTTCCGAGCTCATCCCAGCTGGTGTTCCTCTGGTCACCACTCCAGGCAGTCGCCGTCCTTGTGCATCAAATGGATATTTGCTACCACATGACTAGTTTGATACCAGGACGGTGATGATTACTGGTATTGCTTACTCTTAGCTAGGTTTTCTGATGAAAACGTTGAACTCCTTCTTAGCCTGGGAGATCCTCTTGGATACATGAACTCCCTGCTGCATATCGCACTCCGTCACCCACGAGCACGTTCCAGCTTTGTTGGGACGCTAAACCGTTGGGAGGTTCCCTTTTAAACTTATAGTTTGAAGCCATTATTTATTAGAAACCTCACTTTTTGTTGTTTTAGAATGAACTGGACTCTTGGTACTATGCCTGTGGTGAATCATCCTTTTTTAACATTTCTAATCTTGGTGCAGCTATTGAATCTTGTCATGACATTATGGGTATCAGTCCTGTTGCGCAAGAACATGTAAAGTGGGAGCCAACACCGTTCGGTAAGTTAAAAACTGAGAGGAACGATTATTTGAATACGATGCAATTTTATTGGATTTCTTCAATATCTAGGTTGGTCTCCTCGACCCGAAGCAGCGCTTGTACTAGGTCGTAGTCGTGCTGTCATATACCCCGATCTTTTACCTGGTGTGCAGCCAGATTTATTTGCGTTCCCACATCAATTTTTCACTGCTGGAGAGGATCTGCTGTTGGCTCACGCTCTGATACAGTTTCGACATATTTCGCATTCTAATTCACAGGATCCATTTGGGAGGTTGTTGAATAAAACTTAGACATTGTAATGGTGTTTATTTTTCAAAAATTTTGTAGGTTTCCTACCTTAACCGTTTTTCAGACTATACTGGGTGCAAAGAATGCTTTTACCCTGTAAAACGGTACGACAAATCCGGAACCACCTACGCGTTGCGCGGCAGCACACGGAGGGTCATGTTAATCAACGTAATCCAGTGTACCAGATAATAATAGTAGGACTAACTTTTTCAACAACTGTCAATTGATAACTTATATGGAGATTCTTTGTTTTAGCAAGCACTTCGAGGTGCATGCCATCTTCGATTTCCCTTTGAACGACCAATAGCTCGTTATGAAACATTACAAATGTGGCCTGAGGAAGAGAGGCCAATTTGGTACAATGTGAGTTTGCTGCTCATTTATGAAAAAACGCACTTTGGTCATTCTTCCATAAACATGTGTGTACATGAACATATACACGTATATGCTTATATACGTATACTTTTACATGTATGTATACATATATATATATCTAAATATATACAAACTACGTTTGAGCTCTTGTTGATTCTTGTTCGAAATTCTTTTTCTACTTTTAACTGGTTTTTATCGTGTTGGATTATGCTGTAAGACATTTTGTTGTTAGAGTAGAAGGATCATGAGAAAGTAACATTAAGTCGAAATGAATGGTCAACAATTTCGAGGCTTTATTTTCTACGGATACCGCTCTTCAACAGTGATGATGTCAACGGGAATATAAGCGTGGCGTTCGCGCGACAATAGATGCTAAAATTTGTCTCCGTATGGACAGCCGATCCGTTTGACGATGATACTATGCACTTTCAACTCTAGCTACACACGAACTCGAGCACAGGCCGTTTAAAAAAAAAAGCTTTCCGCCTTGCGCATATCACCACTGACCCGCTCTTGAATTTGATTGAATGGATGAAAGTGGGTCCTCCTGCTCTCTCAGTCAGTATAACCAAACAACATTCATCTTGTCTTTTGGCGTCAATGAATCCTTATTGTTTATTCACCACCAGCGGTACACTAAGGGGAGTTGTGACTAGATGTGGCATGTGAATTTGCTGCGAGAATATTACCCACTAAGTCTTCTTGCTTACAGTGAAGTCTGGACGCAACGACTTCAGAACATCATCTGCTCTGAATTATGAAGGATTACTCGCCAAGAAACCTGATATTGTCACAGGCACACTAATGCCTTCGTGCGTTTTATCAATTTGGACCCCATGTCTTTTTGAGGGAAGGGGATCTATAGCTTACAAAAAGTGGTATAATACCTTTGATAATTGTGGTGAATGCAGCACAGTATATTTACTTATTTGTATACTTGTATGGTCCGTCTTCACTGATTGATTGCACACGCCCCAGCCTAATCTCCATTTTTTCGGATATTTGCTGGTTGAGCTATTGTGGTTCGCTGGAATCCCGAGGTCAACCTGGCCAAGGTCTGCCCCAAATCGTCACCACCACAGGCGGTCGCCGCCCTTGTGGATCAGAGCAAGATTTGCCACCATGCTACCAGTTTGATGTGAGGACAGTGGTTGATCTTGGGATTGGTTTACTCTTAGTTGGCCTTTCTGGTGGAAACGCCGTGCTCCTTCTCGGCTTGGGAGATCGTTCTAGAGAGATGATTCTCCCGCTGTATATCGCGGCCCGACACACAGAAACACCTCACAGCCACGATGAGGCGATAAACCATTGGAAGGATGATACAGTATAAGATAATATAATGTAACGCTGTAGTATAATGTTTTCGTGAACTTGTGCACAATAGTTGCAACTTGTTAAATTTGGCAGCTCTTACCTGGTTTCAGCATTTGTTAAACTAGCAGTGGTTTTATGAACGTTTTAAAAAATTTATTCAGTAAGGTCCACATTTTTGAAAATTTAGTAGGAAACGCTTTTGTTGGCCTTTAATAAATTCGGATTTTGAATGATAATGCTTCACGGGTTTAAACTGCGAGGCGACGGTGGAAACAACTGAAAATCGTAAACAAAACTTGTGGAAATGACAGAAAAGCTGATCTAGAGATAGAACCGGGGTTTTTGAGCTGATAACGAGTCGCCGAAGAGTGGAACGCGTGGGCGACACAGTGGATCTTATTTTTTTTTATCGATTTTTTTATTCACTACATGATCCGGTATGACGTTGCGCGGATTTCAGCACGTCCTGCATTCGATTCGTTCCCCTCATGCACCGTCTAGGAAGATAGTTCGGACTTTTTTTTTGCACTTAGTTTCGGCTTCTCCTTGTTTTTTTTTTTGTCTTTTTAATGAATGTCGTTGAATGGTGGTGGAGTGTATTCCCTCTGGAATCGTAAAGTAGCCATGCTATGGCTTTCCCGCGTGCGTAACAGGAAGTATGTCTGCGTAAGGATAAGGATAACTACCACTGTGCTACCTGTTCTCTGGATCGCAATAGTCTAGAGATAATAGTTGTGAGGGATAATTTTTGAATTTGTTGATTGAGATGCCGGGAAAAACCAAAGTTTCTCAAACGATTGTGCATTGCTACATAAAAACTGGTAATGTGCGGCGATGATTGGACATTACCATTGCATTTCTTACGTGGAACTTTACTAGCACGTTCTTTGATCGAAATATGTGTAAGGTATTATGGAAAGATAGATTATTGAAGCTTTAAATTAAGAAAGAAAATAAAAAAGTGAATAGGGGACGGATAGTACAGTGGTAATTATACCAGCACGTTACTGGTTCAATCCTGCTTCGGGCTTCCCAAATCTGTGCTCTCTCAGGGGTAGGAAACTGGTACCGGGACTTGTCCGGGAAAAAATCATTTTCTGCAGTCCGGTAGGGAACGTTCTATTCCAGCTATCTCAGGACATCAGGGAGAATCGACTCGACCAGCATTTCACGGCATTCAAGATGATATGAAAATCCTCAGGCAGCGGGCGAAGCCACAAGTAGAGAAGTTAGCAGACTCTAGTGAATGATGGATGCGGGCAGATGAGTGAATGTGAGAAGCGACGTGATCCGCACAGTAAATGTAAAGACGGGTCGTGTAAAATAAAAAAGAAAATAGGAAACTGTTTAGTCAGTGGCTGTGGACTGACAGGTCTCCCAAAAACTGTCCTGTGATCAAAACGCAGTGCAAAACTTTCTGGTCAACACTGAGACTGAGAAATTTTTGTTCCGTCCGATATGATTATGTCACTACAACATAATCAAATGGTGACCAGTTGTTGGAAATTCATCCAAGACAGGCAAATTGTTCTAGGAACAGTCTATCCTCATAGCCCGCCAGGGAGCTATATTGTTTCCAGTGTGATCGAAATATTGGATTGCAATCAACCTGGTTTCTCCAGGTTCTGAAATATGCGAATTCCGCCGAAACGTCAGCTTTTTGTGGGTCTCACCTGTATCACTCGTCGTCTCGCTTATCATCGAGTGACTCGAGCGGGTGCCAACAAATCTTTCATTTTTCTCTGTCTCGTGCAAGAGTAGCCCAGTGGGCCCTGCACGCTTTAAGGACTCATTGAGCATCGTACCTTTCTTGTAGGCCTTTCGTGAGGAACTTTGACGATCGAGTCGGTGGTCTTCCTGCACAACGTTTGACATCCCTAGGAATCTATTCGCTAACGGCTCGTGTAAATCGGCTGTTGTTCATACTCGTTACTCGTCCGGAGCACCTTATCTTCGACAGTTTGACGTATAAAACGACGTCTTTGATCTTTGATCGTCAACAGAGGTCGATGCTTCGAATCCCTTCCCTTACTTGTGTGACACGATATATTCCATACATCGTCTCTTCCAGTGCGCGTTCAATAACGCCGAGTAATCTTTCACCCTGCATACTTAGCGAGCAGGTTTCTGACGCATACGTAGAGGCAGGAAGAATGGTGTGGTCGAGGAGGTGGGAAAGGAGTCCGGATTGTCCTCTTCATTACGTCTTCGATGCTCTTGAAAACTCCCAAAGCCGCTGGCTTCCTCCTACTCTACTCTGGAGCTGTCGTTCATCATGTTGATTTCTAGGCTTAGATAGACGTAGTTAGAGTATTAGGAGGTATTCGTTAAGTTGAGCGTGAATGGTGGAAGCTCCTTTCCTCAAAAAAAATGTTTTGCTGTATTTAGTCGAAGACCAATTTTTTCACGCTTTTATCAAAGTCGGCAGGCATTCGCTCTGCTTTGCTAATGTTTGGTGTTATAAGAACGATGTCATCAGTAAAACGAAGATTGTGTAATTGCCGACCATCGATTTTCACTCCCATATTATCCCATTCCAATGTTCGCATGACATTTGGAAGGTGGCGGTAAATAATTTTGGCGCGATGGTATCGCCTTGCCTAACACCTCTTTTGACGTCAATGTTAATATCGTTGTAGAATGGTGACATCTTGGTTGTGAAGTTTTGTAAAACTCACGAAGAATCTTTATGTTTTGAGTAGGGATTCCTTAACTGTCAAGTGTTTCCAAGATTGCTTCTATCTCAACTGAGTAAAGGCCTTCTTTAAATCGATGAAAGTGAAACAGAGCGGTTTTTTGTACTCTCGCGATACTTCAATGAGTATTATATCGTGTGGATGTGGTCCATCGTACTAGATCCTTTTCGAAACCTGCTCTCTCACATAGCTGCCTTTGGTCCAGTATTCTGTGTGGGTAAATTTATAGGTAAAAAATGAAATCGCAAATTCCTGTGTATTCAACAAGAAATCAGGGAAGTAAAGCCTCATGCTTCAAGAGTTGTTATCAACAGTGTAGAAGAGTTAAACTGTGGACTATTTGCATGTTCACAATTTTCTCCACTTAATTTTTGCATATAAAGCGTTCAAGAGTCAACAAACCATCAAAAACGGCTTCAAAGATTTCATAACTTCTAGAACACTATGTTTCAAGAAAATTGAGTCCGTAAACGAACACTGTGTTGACAAATTTATGTTGATATTAATAACGTTTTAGTTCGGTCAAGATCCCTTTTAATCTCCATGTTTGATTTAGAAATTTGTGAAAAATTTCGCTACGAATGGCCCTACTGTGATTGTTCCAATTGTGGGTGATAGCGATCGCACATCTCCCGGGATAACCGCATATGATGCGTCTGTGGACATTATTTCAAAAGTCACCCGTCCTACAACTTTTCCGAACGAATCATATACCGCAGTGGCGAGTTCTACTATATCTTATAAGGTAATTTTTTTTCACAGATTGATTCGTGTATAGCTGCTGTTTGTTGCGCAAATCTTCTAACAAACACTAGGAAATTGTGAGGAAAATTGCCCGACTAGTTTGAAATAGCAGTATACATTGTCTTTATACATGTGTATATATGTATATATATACATATATATGCATGTGCAGTATGTAAATATGTATCTGTATACGCATTTATACATATATATTTATGTATATATATTGTATGCTCGAACTGCCCACTTTGACGAGTAGGGCAGAGAACATTTCATTTGCGATTCGTTGCTTTGCCTCCTGATCGTCGTACGTGGGCGTTGGTTTGACGCGAGCATGGTGACGTATGTGAGACTCACACCGCGATCTTTAAAACATCTTTGCCTTCCAATACAGCTGATTAATTTTGATTACAGACATGTCCTATCGTGTAGTGGCCGTCCTAAGGGACGTTTGCGTTCACGTGGAGTCCATCGTGCAGTTGTTTTCGTCCATCTGTCTTCTTTTATTCCTATTACATGACCTTCCTCTGTGTTTCGCAATCGACATATACTCTCATGGATCCCGAAAATGGGAGGGATTTCTAAGGTCAGAGCTCCTCGTTCCGGCTAGTCATTGTCTGTGTCGGTTGTATTTCAGAAGACATCGTTCAAGCACTATGTGAACGGTGTGGTTATTTCATAACGTGGTTGAAGTATCACCCCCACGTCTGTGCTGCAAAAAAGAACACTGGGAGGACTTTTGCAAAGGAAAAGTGATAAAGATAATTTTCCACAAATACATGTTTTCTTGTGCTTATAGAGAATTCCTCAATCGGATAGAGAATTCTCTATCCGTATAACTAATACAGTCCACGGATCGATGGGGATCGCGTGGCTGCAACGCCGCGCGCGTCCTCTGCGTCCATATCCCGTTCCGGCCATTGGACACACCCAGTAGTCCCGCCATTCGACCCAACGACGCCGTCGAGACCGTCCTTGCCAGCCCCATCATTAATTCCACTCCGTTAATTTCACTTTGTAGATTCATTTGCTTAGGTTATAATGATAGTATATGTAGTCCTTAGCCCGTGAATCGCTGACACATTAGTGTTATCGTCGTCTTTCGTGTAATTATGTTATCCGTGTTAACATAAGTTAAATACATTCATTGTTCACAGGTACCTCACAAACGGTTCATAGTTCTTGCGCACTCCCGCGAACGCCCCTCACGTCCTCGAGCTGTGAGCCGTTACATTGGTGGTTCAGTGGTAGAATGCTCGCCTGCCACGCGGGCGACCCGGGTTCGATTCCCGGCCAATGCACCAATGTAACGGCTCACAGCTCGAGGACGTGAGGGGCGTTCGCGGAAGTGCGCAAGAACCATGAACCGTTAGTGAGGTACCTCAAACTTGGGTAATTAAACCTTTATTAGTACACGCATGTTACTTACACAACAACGCAAGGCGATATACAACTTCTGTCCAACAACTGCGAATAAGGTGGTCCAGTGGGTTTGTTACCTAATCAAACACATTAACAATAGTACACACACCAATGTAACGGCTCACAGTTCGAGGACGTGAGGGGCGTTCGCGGGAGTGCGCAAGAACTATGAACCGTTTGTGAGGTACCTGTGAACAATGAATGTATTTAACTTATGTTAACATGGATAACATAATTACACGAAAGACGACGATAACACTAATGTGTCAGCGATTCACGGGCTAAGGGCTACATATACTACCATTATAACCTAAGCAAATGAATCTACAAAGTGAAATTAACGGAGTGGAATTAATGATGGGGCTGGCAAGGACGGTCTCGACGGCGTCGTTGGGTCGAATGGCGGGACTACTGGGTGTGTCCCATGGCCGGAACGGGATATGGACGCAGAGGTCGCGCGCGGCGTTGCAGCCACGCGATCCCCCTCGATGCTTGAACTGTATTAGCTATGCCAGAACGGGGTATGGACGCAGAGGACGCGCGCGGCGTTGCAGCCACGCGATCCCCATCGATCCGTGGACTGTATTAGTTATACGGATAGAGAATTCTCTATCTGATTGAGGAATTCTCTATAGTGCTAATCGAGGTATCTAGTTAGCACCTGCAATACTGCAGTAAGCTGCTTTGGCCATATTTTGTCGCATTATGGAACCCCTCTTTCTATGGGTATGGTAAGCGGTCGATGAAGAAGCTGTATTTTCATGGTGTAGTTTCGATAACAGTCAGCTCCTCTATGGGATGAGTTCACCTCTTGGCCGACAATCGCTGGTAGACTTGCGTTCTTTTCGACGCTATAATACGTTTTCGTACTCGGTAAAGGTTATGTCATTGGGTTGATGGTGCTTCTCACAGATTTCTGTGACACCCGCCGCCGGGTGGACACGGTCCCTACATCAGAACCATGTCGGAGTCTTGCTTGCTGAACTACATGTGCCTTGTCCAAAGTCCTTGATATGCGCTGCAGACAATTCTTATTCAACAGTTTATAAAGTACACAGTACACTCAGCGAGCAAATTGACCTGTAGTTACGCTGATCCCTTCCACCACTCTTCTTGAGCATGGTGATCATGCGCAATGTTTTCTGCTGTTCTAGGACTTCTTTATTCCTTTTGAAGGTGAAATGTTACGTGGATTGTGGAAAATAAACGTAGATTGTAGCTTCTCGCTTTAAGAAATTTAGTGGTGACGCTACCGGGTCCTGGAATTTTCCTCTTTTTTTCATCCTCTATGTTGCAACTCTAATCTCATAGGGAGGAACTTCACTCGGTTTCTATTCAGTGAAGATTTCAGGTTACGAAACAGGGATTGTGGAACGGAAAACTTTGACATAGAACTTTTCCGTTATCAGTCCAATAATGTCAATCCCACATCAAAACGACAGTCTAAAATATTGTCCAGTACCACGCGTGATTTATGAATTTTGTGAACTATGGCGAATTATGCAATTGTACGTTAAACATAGACGGTCATACACGCGATATAGAGAGGTCAATGATCAATTTGGATGAACTCGCACGGTTTTTCCTGGAGATAGGCCATTCAAATATTTTGATATCTGTTTATTAATTTTGTTGATTCCGTCAGCACATTTGCATCTTTGTTTTCTACTTCTTTGAGACAATAAATAATTGATCTTTACCAAGACATAGAAAACTAAACAATAAGCAAAGCTGTTGTTTCGTCCTTTGCGAAATTTCGTTCTAATTCATTTACCTTAATGTTGAATAGAGCTTGACCGACCCTTAGCTAGTGTGTACCTAAATGTTAGCGTCTCGTGCTTATGTGATAACTCTACGTCATTGTTAAGCTAGTGCTTTTAGGTTGATGTCTGCTTTCATCGTAACGATGTTCACTTGAAAACTGGTGTTGATGCACGACCGGTTCTCTTATGTTATGTACGATTTTTAAACGTTATGTTTACAAGAACTTCGAAATTGAGCTTTTTTCTCTTGCAGGAGTCCGTTACTGGCAGCTTTCCGTCAAGCTGTGCCATAAGAGCAACCCAACACCAGCAGAATGCTTCACAATTGATCATTATCTGTTTCCCGAATGCTCCTTCATCTGAAAGAGCAAATGCAAAGGACGACTCGGATGTCCATCAGCAGCCCACAATGCTATCACAGCAGTCTAGATTAGGCGAACCACATCAAAAATCGCTAGACTTCTCCCTTACTGATTTGAAGAACCCTACTATAGTAGTCAATGGTGCCGAACCTGATGCATCCGCATCATCATTGGGCGTCCAAGTTCACTCTACATCATCTAATTTGGCGGAACCGCAGTTTAGCATTTTTGAGTCGGGCAAAGAGTTCAGTATCCAGCCTGGAGTGAAGTATGAGGAGCTACATTTGCCGAAGTCAGAGTTTTCTCTTGAAACAGAATTGGAAGAGGTTTGTTCCTTTACAATTCAATTTTGTAAGATTTGAAAGGAGAATTTTGTGAAAATGTCTGCTTGCGCTCTACATAAAATGTCTGAACGTATTTGATTCTAATCGTTGTCTTGTCCTATAATATGCTGCTTATTTATGCATGGTTCATGATATAGTTCATGAAACGAGTAGTATCGCAATCAATCTTCACTCCTCACTCAGTTCGTGTTCCGGTTTATTCGGTGTTATTACTGTTTTCGTGTATAGCAAGTAGAAAATATGGTTTCCTCATATAACCAGATTCACAAGTGTAGATTAAGTCCATAAACAGTCGATTTCAAGCAGTGATTATCTTATTACTTTCTCTTTTTGATAGAGCTAAATATGCTCTTTTTTTTATTTTAGGGCGAAATCGTTAGTGATGAAAACTCGCAGGATACTCCAACAGCAACAGACCGACGCTATAGTTCGAAGAATTATTCACCGAAGCGAACAAGAACTGAATGCCAACGTGGACATACACGACGAGAACGGACAGTTCATGTTGCAAAATTTGTATATACTCCACTGAAGCGTAAGAGGGATTCTAATAAAAGCACAGTCAGTTTTCACCGCTTTCTCCATTCGTTTCTGATTTACTCGCTACTGTTTTTATTCCCTCTCCTCAAACTAACCAAGCAAAATAGGAATTGTAGTTTCCTCGCAGAACCAGACTCAAAAATACACTTTAGGTCTGCAGGCAATAGATTTCATGTGGTGAACATCTTATTATCTCCTCTTTAGAATGTGTTCAGTAGTATAAGGTTTTGATTTTACACCTTTTGCCTCAGAAAATAGTTAAATTTTATAGAGCCCAATACTTTTTTATTGTAGAGAAAGTCGTGGCATGCTCCAACAATACGAGACCGACGTTACAGTTCAAGGGATTATTCACCAAATCGAACAAGAATTGAACGAGAACGTGTAGATGCACGTAGAAAACAAGCAGCCAATGTTTCAAAATTTGTGTACACACCACTGAAGCGAAAAACGGATTGTAATAAAAAGTGTATTGAGCGGAATAATAATAGACCGACCAGGAATAATGAGAATCTACCTAGACAAACCTTCAGACATTTGGAAGCTCATCAAGTACGAAACGAAGTCCAAGGAGCAGCAAGAAAGGTTCGGTCAAAGCGAAGGTTATCAAGCCCAGAATGGGGGTCGATAGGATGTTTAAATAAGAAAAGACGGGACATGGAAAACACGCTGGTTAAGAAAGGTATTGGTACGTCTAGCGAGGATCAACGTATCATGTTGGAAGGACACAAAAGAGACAACAATTATGGATATGTTGGAGGAAGATTTGAGAATTATAGGCATGAAGGAATAAATGATAGAACGAGGATCAGAAGATCAGCGAGTGGCAGAAAATTGTCAACAAACTCAAATTCAGAAGTTCAACGGAATTTTTCCCAAAGTGGTGGAGAAGTCCATGAAATATCCTGTGACACAGTCTGTGCACTACGTGCCTCTGATCGGGCCGCGTCTGTTAACCGAGTGAATGTGAAGAATGATTTGCTTACGCTAGAAAAAGATATTGCAGCTGAACGGAGAGTCGAAACGCTGAATAATTTAGAATATGGTGAAATAGAGGATGATCTTACACAATCAAATTGCAGTACTCATTCAGCAGACACGGAAGACCATGCTAAGGTTCGCCTAGTTAAGGTTATTTTTCACAACACATTCAGAAGCGCAATATTATAGTGTAGTGCGAGTTGTTGGATTTTTATCATTCGCATACTGTTTATGTATCAGAACCGAACTACTAGAATAGTTCTTGTGTTATATATTTATTGTTCTGTTCGAGAAAAGCTACCAAGCGCTCTTTATCAAAACTTGCTGGGTGCCCATAGATCACTTGCACTACCGTCCATTTTCATTTAGTTCAAATTATGTTATGTTGTAGTCATGTTAACATTGTGCAAATCAGAGAATTCCAATGTTTGCTTCGGAAACAAGGTGCTGATTTTACAACTCGCTAGGTGCGCTCCCGTCCTTGAAAAATCCTTGGATATCCAGGGAATTATGGTATAATGATTAGGAATACTATTAATCCTAGCCAAGCTTTGATTTGCTAAAAATTATTGGTTGCTTTTTTTTGCAACTTAACCTTCATTTAACCACAATGAGGACAATCAATGTATTTTTTTCTTCTATCGGTAATCTAACACGAAGTTAATATAATAATAATTGCCTTTATCACTTGTTGTCCCGTTGATCGTCGAGCGACTCGAGCGGGCGCTAGTAAATCTTTCATTTTTCCTGTCGCGTGCAAGAGTAACCCAGTGGGTTCTGCTCGCTCTAGGGACTCGTCGAACATCATATCCTTTTTCAAGGCTCTTCGTGAAAAACTCTGACCATCGAGTCGATGGTCTTACCGCAATGCATTTGACATCCCGATAAATGCAGTCACTAACGGCTGTTGTCTATCAGTTGTCGTTCATACGCATTACGTGTCCGGCCCACCTTATCTTCGAATGTTTGGCGTATTGAACGACAACTTTGATTTTTGATGGTTGACACAGGTCGGAGCTTCGGATCCTTTCCCTTGTGTGAAATGGTATACTCCTAGTATCGTCTTTTCAACTGCGCGTTCAGTAACGTTGAGTGATCATTCATCCTGTTTACGAAGAGACCAGGTTTCTGACGCTTACGTTAGGGCAGGAAGCACCGCTGAGTCGAAAAGGTGGGGACGGAGTCGGGTGTTCTTTGTTCTCTTCACTACATTCTCGATGCTCTTGAAAGTTCCCCAAGCCGCTCTTTTTCCTTCTATTCAGCTGTGGAGCGAAGTCGTTCAACATGTTGATTTCCGACCTGAATAGACATAACTGGAGCATTCTAAGATATTCGTTCCGTTGAGCGTGAATGGAGCATGCTAAACCAATCCGTTCTTCATGAAAATCGTTTTTTGTGAGGTTTAGTCGAAGACTAATCTTTCCACAGGCTTTACCAAAGTCGTCAAGTCCACGTTCCGCTTTGCTAATGGTTGGAGTTATAAGGACGATGTCATCAGCAAAGCGAAGATGGTGTAACTGCCGACCGTCGATTTTCACTCCCATATTATCCCATTCCAATGTTCGCATGACATTCTGGAGGGTGGCGGTAAATAATTTTGGCGAGATGGGATCGCCTTGCTAACTTCTCTTTTGGCATCAATGTTAATATTGTTGTAGAATGGTGATATCTTTGTTGTGGGATTTTTGTACAGCTCACGAAGAATCTTTATGTACTGGGTAGGGACTCCTTGACTATCAAGGGTTTCCAAGACTGCTTCTATCTCAGCTGAATGAAAGGCCTTCTGTAAATCGATGAAAGTGAAACAGAGCGATCTTTTGTACTCTCGCGATACCTCAGTAAGCCTTGTTACCATGTGGGTGTGATCCATCGTACTAAATCGTTTTCGAAACCGTGCTTGCTCACATGGCTGTCAACAGTCCAGTGTTCTGTCAGTTCTGTTTAAGATGACTCGAGTGAAATGTTTGTAGATGATAGACAGTAAGCAGATTGGGCGATAGTTGCCGATATCATGTAGGTCTCCCTTCTTTAACAAACACGGTCTTGCTGGTCTTCCACTGAGTAGGGACCTTGCATTATGATAGGTAACCTGTGAAGAGCCGAGCCAGTGTGTTTACGAGGACTGGCGGAAGGTTCTTCAGGTGTTCAAATCTTATCCTGATCTCTTTATGATCATCATTTATCGACTGTTTTCATTGTTTTCCAAGTTCGGACGATAGTTCGCGGTTGCTCGTGCGATTCCACGGTGGCGTATCAGCTCCTGTGTTTCTGGAGAGAGACGTCTCATAGTGGCTTTCGAACTCTCAGTTTTCATAACGCTAACGTGAAGATGTTGAATGAGCCGATCGTATTCCTCATCGTTGTTAGCGACAACGACATCTTCTCAAAGGATCACTAATGAATTGAATAAGTTCCAGTTTACGGTGGTTCTGGGACTTTTGAATTTAACGGCTTTTTCTCCTTTCGACGAGAAATAGAACCTTCCACGGAGGAGGCGATGGTCGGATGCCGTGTAGAATCTTGGGATAACAGCGATATCGTTTAGGCAAAACCTATTTAATATGGTGTGGCCAATTTCGTTATGGTAATCTCCATTGGGAGCTTCCCACGTCAAGCGTTGAGGGTGGGGCTTTTGGAATTTCGGGTTACCATGTCGTCATCATCGTCATGGTAAACTCAAAGAGCCGCTCACACTGTTCGTTCCATTCTAATCCGTGGGTCTCAATGTGACGCTCTTCAGACGTTTTTCTTTGTTCAATCTTGGCATTCTTCTCCAAATCCCTATAAAACGCCTCGAGTTCTTCGTCATAGCTTGATTTCGGCGCGTAACCGACGAAGATTGTCAAAGCCGGCATTGATCCACATTTTATTAATCGTAAACGTCCGATTCGGGTTGTTAGTTGTTCGAATAAATCAATGTTCATGGTCAAACTCGTGTTGTCGAGAACGCAGACTCCGCCGACTCCTCTACTGTTGCGTATAAGCAGACAGCCGAACCAAGGAGCCGGACGGTGTGGTGGTGAACGCGTTACTCACCGTGAAGGACAATAACGCGTTCGTTCCTCACCGCAGACACCTACAGTCCGGAGTTTTGCAAATATCTCAGCATTATAGAAGTTAAATATTAATAATAAGTAATTAATAATGATAAATAATAATAAATAATGGTGATAATAAATAATGTTAATGAATAATAATAGTGATAGTAAATAATAATAATAATAAATAATAGTAATAACAAATAATGATAATGAATAATAATAGTAATAATAAATGATAGTAATAATAAATAATAATAAATAATGATAAAGAATAAAACTTACTTGATACTTGAATTTCCCGTCCTCACTGGTTGTGCGGTCCCAAGCATAATTTACATTTTTCGGAGATTTGCTGATTAAGCCGTCATGGTTCCCTGGAGTCCCGAGGTTAGCTTGGCCGAAGTATGCCCCAGGTCTTCACCACCACGTTCAGTCGCAGCCGTTGTAGATCAGAGGGAGCTTTACCACCATGCGGCTTTGATACCAGGATGGTGGTGCATCCTGGTATTGGTTTACTCTTATCTAGGTTTCCTGATGGAAACACCGGACTCCTCCAGCTTGGGAGGCCCTGACAAAGGATGAGTCCCACGCTGTACGTCGCAGTCCGAGTAGTAACGATAGCAATAATTACAACAATAATAATCTTTAGCAATAATAATAGTAGTAATACGCAGAACAGTACTTAGGTCAGCTTAGGTCTATTCGTTCTTTAACCGAATAAAATTTGGTATCACCCTCGTGTTAGCTTATCAGTGAAAGGGATTAAAAGGGCAGTGATTACCACTTGTCTTTAAATTTTACTATATTCCTTTAATTGGTGTATTTCTTTAGTCACCTTTGAAGACATGGAAGGATAGCGATTATACGAATGATGAATACGACAATGATCCGCTTACATCGGACATGGAGACGGACTCACCGGTGAGAGAGTTTGAGGTTGGTTTTCGAGGTCTTGTTTAAGAAAAGTTGAACCTATGTTTAAAATGTTGCCATGTGGTGTTTTTCAATTACTTCTTATGTTTGTCAATATTGCAGTCTCCATATATACTACGAACGCCAACGTTTAATACTCCATCAGATTATTCACCGGTGGAATCTATCTCGCATTTGCGTACTCCAAGTTCCGAATACGATGTAGATTTTTTGCGCATTATGTTGATACTGAATTCTATATCTTTACAGATTGTGTAAATCAGTTTTCCTAAGTAATGACCCAACTTGTTAAGTTTTCTTGCAGGTTGGGATTCCTGTTACTCCTCGTGATGACGTACTGACAAGAAGTCCCACATTGTTGCGAGCACCATCAGCCGTTAGTAGAGCGCTCTTTTCAAAAATACAGGTTGTTTCTATATTCTAATAATATTCCGTGGAATCTCTTTAGATTAACCACAATAAAACCTTTTATGCATTTCCAATTTCTCATCATTACAGATTAAACACCTTCCAACCGATAATACTGATTTGAATAACTGCGATACCTCGTCGAATTGCTTAAGGGACACATGGGATTTTGTAGAAGGTTATTCCTTAGAATACGTTAATATACTGAACGTGAGACTATCAACAAAATTAGATGCAGGTGAGCAAATCAATGATGACTCTGAGGATGCTCCTGGATCTGAAATGTATTCGGTGAGAGCATGCCTTGTTTAACTTATAAAAACTTTCTGTTGTAGTAATGCATGAACTCGTTGAGCATGACATTCTGTAATGTAAGCATATGGTCCCATCTTTCACTTTTTAGTTTTTTACTTTGTCGACTTTTTTATTGCTCAATTGTTACTAGATTAAACATTATATGAATACGAAATCATCTCAAAAGTTTGTGGTATTTGTAGCGAATTATGACGACTTCCTATGGGTTTTGCATTTTAACGTGCAATTGTACAAGAATTATAATTGAAATTAAAACTGTAGAGAATCCCAGCGAAAAAATGGAGGAAGAATTGAAAGCATGGGGAAAGTACGAGCGAATACATCACTTGTTGCCACGTCTTTCAAAAGCGTTTTATATAAACAACTATGAAAACCATGCAAAATCTCAAAATCAGGATCTCTTCGATTTGATTTCTCGTTTTTAGCTGAGTACAAGTGTACCATGGTGTTTTATGGGTCTTAATTACATCAGACATAGTTCATATCAATGACTGATTAAAACACATTGTTTTAAAGGCAGGAGATGAACTAGATGTTGCTAGCAAAACAAAGATGAAACGACGTACCCGAACTGAAAAGGTGAAGTTTTAAATTTTTAGTGCTCTTTAATTTTCTATCCCATTGATCTACTGCTAGTAGTGACCATAGGACTACCTCATTGTCTCCGTTTTTTTGTTGCTACATTAATGGTTCTACCTTTTATGAAAAAGTGTTTTAAAGATTTGAAAACCTATTGCCACTAGTTTTCAGCTGCTATTTTTCGCTTTGAAAGTGCCCTTGGTTATAGTGACATTGTTAAGGAACGCATGGGTTTGGAACGTATGCAAAGTCCTCATCATCGAGCTCTGCAAATGATCAACCTTGCAAGAAAGATTGCTGATGATATAAAGCAACGCACATTTATGCATCAAGACGTCTGGCACACTGTTGAAAGAATTGTCTTAGGAGAGGAGAGTATGGAGGCAGTGAGCAATTTAATTGTCCCTTCACTTTCTTTGGATGCAATTGCGAACAGTAAAACTTAAGGGCTATTATGCGAGTCGTTTTTGACGTTTTTTGAAAACCGAAAACTAGATATACACCTTCGAAGTCATTTAAGGATCTGGCAAGTTGTAGGCCGTATATTTTCAATATGTATTCTTTCTTTGATGAGCTTACACGAGGTTGATAATTATATTTATCTTCGGCTAACGTTTCAACGTCTTCGTCTTCCTCAGAGCCGATGATCCGAGTCGGTGGTCCACGCTTGTTATTCGTCTCGACGTGGCAACTTCGCCTTCGTGTCGAGTCAGGTCTTCCTTAGCGGGTCGTCTCGAATGAGGCATCCTCAATCGGTGGTGCCCTTTTATGCAGGTTGCTGATGGTGGACAGCTGTGATATAATATAATAATAATAATAATAATAATAATAATAATAATAATAATAATAATAATAATGTAATGCAATAATAATATAATAAATATTAAATGACAAATAAATATAAATATAAATGATAAAATAAAAATATTATAAATTTGATAAGTATTAATATAAATTATATAATATAATATAATTACCAACCTAGTGTAAGCTCATCAAAGAAAGAATGCATATTGATTAGTCACACCGAGGTTCAAGAAAAGTCAGTTTCGAAATATTACTACGTATATTTTCAGTTTCTTTGTAAACAGTCTTAAAAGACATTCTCAAGTACTGACGTGTTAGGTGAAGTTGCAATGATCTTTTGTTTTAAGGACAAGAGGCAATATTAATTGTGTGCGTTCTTGGAATAAAATAGTTACTCCCTGTTGAAGCTTATTTTATACTCGTTACTCACATGCATCAATTGTTCTCATCCTTAATGATCTCTATAGCAATGCTTCCCTTCGGATGTATTTTCCACTCATGTGATGTTGGAAAAGGATCGTGTTAGGCACACTTCAAGAATGTTCAAGAGATTCGGCTAAGGAGCAAAATATTTGTTTCGTTGGTATGCCACTCCTTATCTTGACCTCATAGCAAGGCATTGGAAGTGAATGCGGAAATCTGAATTTACGCTTTGGTCTATGGTTGTTAAAAGAGAGGATGGGGGTACAACGTTTTCCGTCTACCTTATAGGATTTCCTTGAACTCGTTTTTTGCTGATACTCCATTGTACACGTAACATATGCTCTCCGAAATCGAAAAGTTGATAACTTATTTTGTTATTCACAGTGGAGGGAAGATTTTTCATGAACCCCGTTTCTTCTTTCCTAAGGATACCCGTCTCTTCTTTTGATTTTGCCTTGATTTCTCGATAAGAGAGTGCTATTGTCGATGTAGCAAAAAATTTGGTAGGAATTGTTCATGAAAGTGTTGTATGTATTGTGTAGATTCTGATGATTGGCATTTATTTCAATGCTCTCGAGTGTTTCGTTGTCACTCGAGATCAGAACGAAGATAGGTGGGGCATCCGGAAAACATCTATCACTTCATGTACGGTTTGGACGTGGTTACTAAGCAGAATTTGTTTCAAAGTCGGGCTCGTTCATTTTACTTAGCGCTATCAAGATTCATTGATTCGCATAGTAAGATAATGCTGTTGGTAAGACTTCTACTGCATTTGGATAGCAAAGTAGATGGTTACGGATATCTCGTATACCCTAGTTTCGAAGTTTTTGGTTTTACTTCGTCATGATTGGAAGAAGCGGGTATTGTTCATAGACTCCCACAGGTGAATTAGAACCAACCTCGATGTTTGTTTGACCTGACTATGCCAATTTTCATACTTCTTGATCGCGTCTCGTGCATCAGAGAGAGAGAGGTCGTGGTTTTAAAATTTCATCGAACATATTCGTGTCATAAACTGTCTTTACACTCACGTTTGGTTAAATTTTGTTCTTGTAGCTACTGGTTGAATCACTGCAACAAAAGTCTTACATCCTAGGTATAGTAGAGGTATTATGCAGGTATCATGGAAATAGCAGATCCACTAATGGTGTAATGCATCACGGTGTTGGTAATTCTGGTGTGTAGTCCCGGTGTCCAGCAATGTAAGCATTTTCTAGACATCCTAGCGAGTTAATTCCCATCTTCGAAATCGTTTCCTGGCAGCCCATTGTTCATCCTTTTTCTCGAACTGCATATTCTACCATTTCGGACAACAAAGTTATAGGTCTTCTTCCGAATTATCTCATCTTGCCATTTCATTCTCATAAAGGATTGTTGAATTACAGTTGAGTTTTCTCATCACGAGTTGGTTTAACTTTTTGACGCAAAAGTGTGAGACTGGCGGTCAGTTGATGCCTGTTAATTAATACAACCATTCATTTTTAGCAGTTCGACCGTCTAAAAGCTGCACTACTCCCGAAACATGCCGATGTACTAGCACTGCTATCCCTACTAGCTGATGACTCCGTGCTGCCACCTGAATTACTCACGAGTCCTCTTCGTAGAGCATATCATGGCGCTGTACAAATGCTTTTAGCTATTGAGGTATGTTCTCTTTTTCTTCTAAATCGGCGTTCTAACGCAACTTTTTTTTCCTACTTTCCTCCCTACTTGCACAGTGATTTTTGGTTCTTTCGTTTTCCTAAACAAGGCTTTCTTTTTGCAAACACTTTATGCAGAATAGGGATCGCGTAGCGCAGTACCGATGATCCCTTTCATTACGCGGACGGCCAACCTACACAGGCACTAGTTAAACACCACTCCGTGCTATCCAAGCTCTTCATCTCCCGAAGTCGGAAAATTGGTACCATACTACTCTGGAGCAAACTCACTCCTTCTAATCGAGGTGGGAACACAGACCACGGTCAGCATTCCAGGAAGAACAGGTTCGACTAGCATTCAAAAAATATGGTTGAAGACGAAAGGATCCTCAAGCAGCAGCGGAAGCCATATGCAAAAAGTTCGAAGAACTTCGTGAACGGTGGTTACGAAGAAACAAATCGAATGCAAAACGTGGTGGAATGACACATGTAATGTGCGGTCATGTTATGTAATGCAGAATGTCTTAGAACACTTGGGATTAATTGGCAGCGAGGATCTGAACATAGTACAGAAAGTATTATAAAAAAGCTCTCAGCAAAAGGAATAACGTGATAGTTATTTTCGCGAATCTGGCAGTGAATATTTATAGCGGCAAAAGTGGACATTTTCTTGTGCGAAACACGCTTTCTTACAGGTACTTTTAGCGTAATCTGTCCATAGCCTAAATCCTTCAACTGCATTACTTGTAATGTTGTATTATGTTGTGTGTAGCACGGTGGTTAGTGGTTTCCTGCAATACACATAGTTTCGATCCCGCGTCGCAGGTCCACCAAGACTTGCGTGCTTTCGGAGGTGGAAAATTGGTACAAGACCTGTCTGGGAGGATAGCAAAACCTACTCGATGAATAGATAGGTCTTCGCTATTCATTGTATATGCATTCAGTCACCACTAGCCCTGCTTAATGAAGTCGAATGCATAGCGTATCTCAGTGCTAAGAGCCTTTTGATCCATGTTTGATTATGCTGACTCTTTGGGCGACTTTTGGTAGATAAAGTCCACAATGTTGTGTTTACAGGCATACTGTCACGGGACGCGATCTCGTAGTTCTAACATACGCAGTTTGTTAAAGACCATAGGAAGTATGGGTATGCGTTTTCATTTTCTTGCTTCCAATATTTGAATGAATTTTGTAGTTGAACTGTAACGGCCTAGGTAAGACGTTGAGCGAAGTGGAATTTTGTGATCGCCTCGCAGATTTACTAGGCAACGAACGTCCATTATGGAACTACATTCGTCACTGGCTTCCTCTCGCATATGATGAGAAGTAAGAATTACGAAAAGCCTTTTTTTATTTACTGAATCGTTCCCGAAGGCACTATACCTTAGGTGTTTACATTTGGGATAGCAAAAATGTGGATTTTGAGGGTGACTGCAGCGGATTTCGAATTCATCGACTTGTGTCGTCGAACGGATTCCGAATTAATAGAAGATGGCGGAGCAGAGTGCATTGATGATCTGAATGCAGTTCTAGGTCCACAACCACCACGGAAGGGAGGATCGTTGCAAGTTTGTTTGCATTCTTTACTGTGCCTCCTCGTGAAATGCATTTCAAGTGGTGTCTACTCCTGTAGGTTTTCTTTGGTGCAGTAGTATATGTTCCGTATTCGGAATCTACTCAAAGTGATAGCGAACTGTTCCATTATTTTGAGAGCCAAATTGATATGTAATTTTTTCTATACTTCTGATATTTCCTGAGCCTAGGGGTCATTATAGCAGCTTGAAATAATTGTCCTCCCAAAACGTCAAACTGCAGTAAAATTTTAAGAAAGTTGAAAACCATTAAAACGTAATGTCCGGTGCGAGTTTTCCGACAGTGGACGATGCTTTTGGAGCACTAGAGTATTGGAGGAGTCGAAAACAGACTTATGGAACAGACTGCGCTCCATCACTTCAAGTGTGTGAGATACAATTATTGTAAAGTATTCTTCGAGTTTTGGATGCGTTTACAATTAAAAGAATTCAAAAAGAAATTTGCAGCGGAGTTAAAGTCATTAAAACTTACAACGACAGCATGTAAACGCTCGCGATACACTGAATAACATAATGATGTCCTGTTGGACGAAACCAGCTTGTTCTACTGGCTCCGCTTACGAAACGAGCGTCGGCACAAAAACAGAAAAGCGAAAAAAAAGCGCTTCGTAAACTCCACAATTGCGTGATTTCCCTCTTGGAAGGTCAGAAAACTTCTCTCGGTCAGAAGATCTTCTCGGAAAAGCGCTTACTTCCAGTGATCGTTATTTAATGAAATGAATATGAATAATTAGATGTTCGCCTGAAGTTGAGAGCAACAATTACTGTTGTAACGAATGCATCGGATGTACTGTATGTCGGGGGTTATGCTAAATTAAAATATCTCTCCAGTAAATATCTCCACCAAACCACAAACCACAGCTGCCACAATTTTACAACTGGGTGATGCCATTTTATACCTTGACATTATGAAGTCAGTGCACTCAGTTTCGTATTAACACTTTAGTTGTAAACTAGGTACTAGGTAACAAAGTGATTCGCTGGGTCTACACATCCTCTTGCTATGTGTTTGTAAAGTACAAAAGGATTTGTTTCGACTTGGTAACAGGTTTTCTCTATTTGATAAAGAAGTGCAAAACATAACCAGCGTTTATTAATTTACAAGGCAACTTCTTGTTATATATTGACGCGATGAAGCTTTCCGATCCGCGTCAATTTATCTGTGATGTTCCAATATACGGCTTTCCACAGCTGCTTTTCGAAATGCAGAGTACGTAGTGGGAAACCAACAGGTCTACAAGAAGTGCAAAACCTAACCAAACAAGAGGGGGAACCCTGGCACTTATAGCACGGTGTGCCTGCTGTCTACCGTACAGAAACCCTTTGCTCGAATCGCTTTCGACGGATACGCAATAATTTTAGGGGAAAGTAAGGTTTCGAAAAACAGTGAATACTGTTCATCAGTTCATATTCAAATAACTGCCTAACACATGGTATTATGGCCCAAACATATGAGTTATATGTGGCTCAGACGTCTGCACACGAGGAAATTAGAATGGTCATAATTATTTAGGTTCATGCAGGACAGCTGAATTCTCTGCAGAATGGTGTATATGTGCCTATACTAGTATCCAAGGCAAACAAGCAGAATGGGAAGCGGCGTCCATTGGAGAACGATTGCAATGTATAGTTATTTCTTTCGCTTACTTACTCGGATACTTGAACAGCACATCTTCACGAGTTCTGTGGACTGCTGCACATTTTCATTCCATTTGAATATATTAAAAACTTTGGAATGATACTAGTGGAGTGCTGCACAATTATGTATATATATATATGTATATATATATATATATGTATGTATATATATATTAGGTTCTGAAATAAATGAGCGTTTTAACCATATTATATAAAATGTCATAACTTCTTCCAAACAAAACTTTTTAATCAAAATGAAAACCATTTGAATCCTCACATTTTTGCCAACGACAAACAAATTTAATTATTCTAGTTGCATAGAATTCTGGAGTTCTTGAAGCGATGAATCCCGTTGAAGACATTTCTTGCGTCATCGCGGTTGGCGAAGCATTTCTCGCCTAGATGTCAAGCTGCTTTAAGGAGTGATAGTCGGTAGGTAAGAGGTCGGATGAATACTGCGGATGAAGCAAAGTTTCGTAGCACAACTCGCTCAACTTCCGCAGCGCTGGTTCCGTAACGTGAGGCCGGGCGTTGTCGTGGAGGATTGGTTTTTTCTGTTGACTAATGTTGGTCGTTGTTGTTGGAGTTCACGGTGCATTTCGTCGATTTGTTCGCAATACTTCTTTGCCGTAATCGTGTTTCCGTGATTCAAAAAGCTATGATCAATCAACCCGGCTGCAGACCACACCACTGAACAGTCACCATAACTTTTTTAAGTGAGATTCGGCTTTGGGAAGTGCTGTGGAGCCTGATCGCAATCCCACCATTGAGCTAAACGTCGCCGGCGGTTGTCGTACAGAATCCACTTCTCATCGCACTTCATAGTTCGATCAGCAAAAGGGCTGTTTTATTGCGCAGAGTAAGAGCAGACGACACTAAATCGACGATTTTTTCTTGATTATGATTATCGTTTAGTTCGTGCTGCATCCTTTTGTCCAGTTTATTTTGTCTTTCGTATGAGATTCGAGTGAGTGGAAATTGTTCCCGTGCTTACGCCAAGCTCCTCTGCAACCTCTGGAACATTTCTTCGCGTGTTTGCTTCCACTACTGCCTTCAATTCGTCGTTGTTGACTTCATCGGGACGTTGGCTCCCTTCGTTACCTTCGAGGGCGAAATCACCAGATCGGAATTCCTAGAACTATGTTCATACTCTTAACCTTTTTATTTACTGCCTATTCTTTTTAACGGCAGCGTACGTTGCGAAATATAACTTCTATAATGCTGAGATATTTTCAAAACTCCGAGCCGCAGGTGCCTGCGGTGGGGAACGAACGTGCTATTGTCCTCTCTGGGAAGTAACGCGTTCACCACCACACCATGCGGGTTCTTCGTTTCGCCTGTCTCTCAGCTAGTTTTATCGGTCTTTTGCCATCGGCAATCACCCATCAACGGGATTGATCTGGGAACCCCAAATCAGCATTGAACCAAGTTAAGCTCAGGCTGAACCCAGTTAAGCAGACAGGCGAAACGAAGGACCCGCATGGTGTGGTGGTGAGCATGTTACTCTCCGGAAAGGACAATAGCACGTTCGTTCTCCACCGCAAGCACCTGCGGTTCGGAGTTTTGCAAATATTTCAGCATTATAGAAGTTATGTTCATACTGTTGAATCACCAACACTACCTTCACTCCAAACTTCATTAATGTTTCTATGCTGCAGTACGACCGAGTTTGAACTCATAAAAAAAATTTAATGAAAATTCGTCTTTGACGTGTAAAATGCAAGGCTCAAAATTGGCGAGAAAAAAAGAAATTTAAGATGTACAAGATATAAAGCAATGATTAGAAAGAGCATAAAATCGGCTTTCTAATAATTTACAATATTGTTAGGTACAAAAGATATTTTATTGGCAAAAAGTACACTAAAGAAATAAATGTTTTAAAACGCTCATTTGTTTCTGGACTATTTTATATATCTATGTATATATTGTATTGTTTTAGAGGGGAATGGAAATCACTGGCATTTAGAGCTAATTTCAAACGGATATCAAGCATATGAGCTGACCCTCTTCAGCTCATCCACATAGGAAAAGACGCTGATTAGTTAATCAGATGGTTCATGGGATTCATTACATTTTCAGGATTTGGATTCATTATCTTAACTAGTTGAATATGGAGGAAAACCTTTATGGCATAGAGTAACGAACGAAATTTATTGTATGCCTTTTATCTTGTTGCCTGTAGGTAGTGTTTGGTAGTAAGAATGTGTGCTCAAATATTTCTGCCAAAACAAAACATGACTACAACGCTGCTGAGATATTCGCAGAACTTGTTGGATCCCAGGCCAGATCGAACCACGATTAGTCTTTCTTGGGGCTGGCGTATTGCACACTGCACCACTGAGGCCCTTGCTGTGCGCTTCTATCTTCAAGTTTTCTACTTAGCGCTGCCATCGGCAACCACTCGTCAGCGGAGTTGACCAGGGGAGCACAAATTGGCATTGAACCCAGCTAAGCTCTGGAACTGAGTTAAAACATAACTTTTCCATGTGCTGATATGTTGTGTTTTGAGTTTAACATTCTAGTAAATTTTCTCTCTTATAGGAGCCTGTTTGGACAAAAGAGGTGGATATGTTAATTCTGAATACGTACAATGATATAGACGGTACCAACGAAGACGTAGTGAAGGAGTTAGTTCGTAAGATACCATATTCATGTGCCAGCATCGAACGAAGACTTAATTTTTTGATCTCATTGTTTTAAATAATAGTTGTGTTCATTTGCTGTGAAATATGAACTAAATATTAAGTACTGAACCCAAGCTACCTGCAATACTTGTGATCTTTTGAGAAGAAAGAGTCGTTTTATTTCACTTCGTTTGTCTTCCTTAGTTTTTCAGCGACCTCACTATATTCTCACAGTGTCCCATTGTATTGTTTATTCATAATTTTGGATTCACAGACGATCTCAGTTTGTCATCTCGCTCTCAAACGTAAGGTTAGAGAAGAATTAAGGACATATCGTGTTTCCTCTAGAGAATCTTAATTAGAAGTCGTATTGTTTCACTGCTGCTCCACTTATACCATGGTGAGTATTGTGATTGGCGTCACTGTTCACCGAGTTCCCTGTCTGATCCCACTTGCTGCTTTTAGTAATCATTTTCCACTTTTTTTATCTAAAATAATATGGCGGTAAGTCTGACAAATCGGAAAGCAGTCTATACTTGTATATTTTAGTCTTTCATTAATAAATCGTTGCAATCTTTATAGCAAAACAATCTGCACTGCATAGTAATATTTCAAAAGCCAACTTTCCTTTAACCTCAGCATGTGTTCAAATTGTTGGGCTCGCACGAGGTTGGTAAATAAATTTTATTCGGCTAACGTTCCAATGTCTTCGCCTACAACAGCGCCGACGATCGGTGTCGACGGTCAGCAGTTGTTCGTCTCCCCATGTGGCGTCTTCATCTTCGTATCGAGTCGGATCTTACTCAGTGGGGCATTTCTGTAATGAACAAATCGAACAACTGTTCAACTATTTGAACACGTGTTGATTTGGCACA